GAATAATGGCATGTTTCCTTAGAAACCCCATGTGCAAGGCAATCAAATTGAAAAGAACATTACGTCAACAGCATTTCAGCAGCCATAAACGTCAGAGACGAATTCAACGAAGCCAACAAATCCACGGCAATAAAACCCGAAGCAGAGGAGGCTCGATGAAAAATGGAAGTCAGTGAAACAGAAGTTAATATTTGGGGGTTGAAACAGCATCTCGCGGTTGATCGCTTCCGTTGGTTCGTCGGAACCCTTGCACAGCTTCATCAAAAATATTAAAACTCACCGTCACAATATTCCCACCAGCCGCGCGTTTCATCCCGCCGCCCCTCTCGGCGCCCCCGGAATCAACGCAGTCTCTATTCTGGCTCATTAAATCGCATCTGGCCGGTTACTCCTTTGCCGGAGCCGTTTTTCCGGAAACAATGTTGTGACGAGGGCCGTCGAAAAAGGGGTACTAGGCGAGAGGGGGGGTGGAGAGGCGCGGCTGCCCGTTGGGAGTTTTTTTTGTCGATATTTAGGCCCTCTCCTTCAGAAGAGAGAAAGAGAGAGAGAGAGAGAGAGAGAGAGAGAGAGAGAGAGACAGAGAAAGGAAGGAAAAGGGCTGAATGGGCCCCTTCGCAAGGAGAGAACGGACTTGCGACGCAGCGGGCACTTGACGCATTATCCAAACACGCGATTTTGTGGGTTAGGTGAACGCACCGCCCCCCTTCTGCCCCCTTGAACCGTTGACAGTCAATTATTCGCAGGGTCGACCGACGAAATTGCTTCCGCGAAGAATTGTTAGAGTATAATTACTTGGGCCGATCTTTTTTCCTAGTTGGAATCATCCCCCCGAGTATTTTGGCGCTCGAGACCTCTTTTCACCCTCTGAGAGGGTCCACTGCTAATTATTCGTCGGGACNGAGAGAGAGAGAGAGAGAGAGAGAGAGAGAGAGAGACAGAGAAAGGAAGGAAAAGGGCTGAATGGGCCCCTTCGCAAGGAGAGAACGGACTTGCGACGCAGCGGGCACTTGACGCATTATCCAAACACGCGATTTTGTGGGTTAGGTGAACGCACCGCCCCCCTTCTGCCCCCTTGAACCGTTGACAGTCAATTATTCGCAGGGTCGACCGACGAAATTGCTTCCGCGAAGAATTGTTAGAGTATAATTACTTGGGCCGATCTTTTTTCCTAGTTGGAATCATCCCCCCGAGTATTTTGGCGCTCGAGACCTCTTTTCACCCTCTGAGAGGGTCCACTGCTAATTATTCGTCGGGACCGAGAGCTACTTCGATATTACAATAATTTTTAGAATCAACCGAATGCATGTTATTGATCGAGAAGCGCCCCTTTACACTCTCTGAAATATTATTATTATTTTTACCCTCGTGGGGGTTGGTCAGATCGTTTGGAATTATTCTCTGATAGCGTTGTAGTTTCTCGCACGGGGAAATGTTTACTGAATATTGGTCCGATAAATGAAGCACGCCTTTAGAAATATCCAGAACGCGTTCTTAGCGGCTGCAACCCCTTTGGACAGACAACAATCGATTATATAGTTGTTATTCAGATCCCCCGAGAATTATTCTCTGCTGTTACAATATTGAAAAAAAAGAATATATAAAATACATCCTTATCCTTTATAATCCTCTGACAATCTCGACAAGTATTCGTTCAACGCCCAGACCTCCGATTAAATAAATTGCCGTACCAAGGATATATTTGTTACAGAATAAAAATTAGAATTATCCCTCTAAATTCGAAATACATTTTTGCGATATTCATTGCTCCCACAAACTAGACAATTGTTCTCCTCGTAGTCAGAGCTTCGTAGATCCAGGCTGACGTGCCAAAAAAATATTTGCCGCACAGCAACGTGCACGATAAATTTGATAAAAGTAAAATCTCCCCCGGACGAACCGAACAACGAGCTCTTTTAATTCCAAGGGACAAGATTTTCAGTTCGGAGATTTCAACGTATCGGGGCAACGCGGGAACAGTTTCATTGAATTCTCCATTCGATGAAATCGTGTCTATAGCGGTCCGGGTGCGTGTGGGTCGTGCGTCCTCGAGGATTTCGGGTGCACGCAGGTCAGGCTCGCATAAAGGGTTACGCTCGTCGAGGCCACGCGGATTAAATGATTAAAAAAAGGAGGAGAAAACAGGAGAGGGAGAGAAAAAGAGAGGAGCACGATGAGAGGGAGAGAGAGAGAGAGAGTTAAAATACGGGGCCTGCTTTTCAGGATCGGGCTTTTTGAAAATTTCAAGCTACCGGGGCCTTCCGACCTTTCTGTCTCCCCCCTCCCTTTCTCTCTCTCTCTCTCGCTCTCTCGTCGCGAGTTTCAAGAACCACGAATAGAAAGGGTTCTGCTTGAAAGGTGGATCTCGCGTTAAGGGTAGGAAAAGGGGCGTGGAGGGGGCAGCACGGCGGCCTGGTGCGTGTCGTCCCCCGAGTTTCTCATATTTTTTAAGATTTGCCCCCTTAAGCCGTGTCACGTTTCTCTTATTATTCGACCCGGTAGGAAAAAACCGGACCGGCGTTTTTGAGACTCGCGCCGTGTGGGTGGCATGATCTCGCCAGGCGCCCTTAGAACTACTTTCTATAGCAACTTGTAGCCGAAACTTGCGATCCGATCACAATGGGGGGACATTAATCCCTCGTGTCTGCCTCCGCGCGCAGGATCCACCGATTCGAGCGCTCGCGCGCGCGTGCACGCTTTAAAACGCGCTCGCAAATAAAATCTCGATGTTTTCGAATATCGCAGGATCCTCTGCTCTATCCAGAAAAATTGTATCTATTCTCTCGAATCCAAATGAGCCATGGATAAAAATAAAAGTGAAACTCTCGAGTCTCGTGGAACGTTTCAAAATTCTGACGTCGATTATCGATGCTCTATGACCTCGATTTCGAATCGGAAGCGTTAAAACATCGTCGACGGATCGTGCGAGTCGATCGCCGCGTGCCGAATTCGCGGTTCCTCCATGCCGTTTAAATTAATAATCCGATTCGGCGGAACCGGGAACGGTCTCGCGTATTATTACGCAACGTTCGGTTATGGCTATTAATCTATCCTCCGGCGTACGGTAATTATGTAACGCAGCTGCGTGTTTTGTGCGGCTCGTTAGAGCCACCTTCTTCCGTGCGTTCGCGAGGAAATTCTGATCCGCGTGAATTTACAGCCGCGTTTCTTGTCACGACGAGACCGAAAGCGAAACGACGGATGGGAAAAAGGGAAGAGAAAAAGAGGAAGAGAGAGAGAGAGAGAGAGAGAGAGAGAGAGAAGGAGATAGCTTGGGGGTCAAGGCTCGATCGGTTGGTATTAATTAAGAATAAACGCGAGAGACGGCCCATGATTCGTCTCTCTCTCTCGTATCCGGGAACGTCAGACATTTTGTTGACGCCTAATTATGCGGACCGCGTCGCAGGAAGCGTGCCAAAACGGCCGCGGTACCGACTGTCGAACGGAACCTGGCCTTGGAACTCGTTAAAAGCCACAACGGTGCATATTATTTCGTTAATCGGCCGTTCCCGGATCGATTTCTCAGCTCCTCGTCTCTTGAAACTGTCCGTCGCAGCGTCCGGAAGCTCCAGATCGTTCCAACGCAACGGACGCGTCGCTTCCGCGACATTTGCAGTCGTGTCTTCGCGACGAAATTATTTTTGAAACGTTAGGCGCGTCGTAGACTGTACCGTGTCACTTTTGTTAAATCAGCCTGCTACTTTGTTCAGCGAAGTAAGTTCAAAGTTTCCGGAAGTTTAACCCTTTCCTGTCGAAAGTCCCGAGGACGTTCGAGATTAGATCGTTTAGTTTTCTGCGTTATTTGCAACGGAATAAATTGTTGGATGACGATCAGTGCCGGTGCATCGCGCAACAGTTGATTCGGAGAAGCATCCGGGTGTTCCTCGCGGGTTCCCGATAGTTTGCGGAACATAATGCCGGAGCATAATGCTCGGGGCCTCTCCCTCGCAACCTTTACCATTTCGTCTCCTTTCTGGCTGTTCGTTTTTCTTTCGTTTCGGCCGTCGAGACGCGAGCCGGGGGGAACCCTTCCACTCTCTCTCCCTCTCTCTCTCTCTCTCTCTCTCTCACTCTTTCTCTCTCTCTCTCTCCGTTCGCGTACACACGTGCGCATAAAACCCACGGCCTATACTATACCCATCCCCGCAGAAACCGAGCGAGAACCAGGGGGACCCCTAAGAGAAATATTCGACAATTTTTAAACTCGTTTCTGAACGCATTCAAACGCGCGCTCGTTCGCAGTCGGCAAGTAGGAATTTCTCGGAATCGGCCCGGGCCCTCGCAAGGGGCACGCCGGGCTTGGCTCGCGGTTTCCGGCGAAAAGGGGGCGGGGGACACGCTGTATATTCTCCCCCCTCGGTTACATATTTCGCGGTTATTCGCGGGATTCCTGGGACCGGTGGGAATCGTGTTCCTACGAAATTAAACGGAGGATTTTCAGCGTTTCGGGGTTCGACGTTGTCCTCGATTACGATTTATTCGTTCGTTGATGTTAAATTAATCTCCGATCGCTGTAGTTTGTTCCTAGAAATTTGCAGCTTTTAATTCGCATCGATTCTATTTTTTTTTATACTAGGGAAAGAATCGCAATATTTTGTATCCTTTCCTCCGTCATCTGTGTATTCTAATGATTCTCATTTAGTCATTATTATACGTTCATTCGAGGCTTTATTAGCTCCATTTCCGATCTGCAATGATTTATCGACTAAATAGTACGATTGAAACTAGTACAGTTCGCTTTGCGATCATCGCGTACTTTTAAAATGATCGAAGAAATGGCGAGAAAAAAAATATGCATCGGTGCAAACAACCCCTAAAGTTAATTTATCAATTGCTCGCGTGTATCGCTAATTCTTGGAAGCGTTTCCTAAAAAAAGAAGCAATAGGCTCTCCTCCCATTGTCACAGCTGCGTCGAACAACACGCGATCGAACTGCTTGCAGTGCATCATAAGTGCATCGGTAGCTGCTCTGTTATACACGTTGAAACTGCATCAAGCCCGGTAGATAAAACAGCTGGTGCAGCTGGGCCGATAACTTTGTAACCTTCCATAGCAATGCGTTTCTACTTTGCCAGCTGCATTCCGACGAGACAGAGAATCTACCTTCGCGCTCGAAGGTACCCTGTCTCCCCTTGCACCTTCGATCGACCACATAGAAACCTGTTCGAGACGACACGGCGCGGCGCGACGAATTCAAAACGCTCGAACGTTTAAAAATCCGTAATTTTCTGATTTCAGCTCTGCTGAGACAAAGCATGTCTCCGGTCGCGGACACGCTGATCGGTAGCTCGAAAAGCTCGGTGTCCCAACCCATAATCGATTACTCTCGTTACGTGAGGCGGTACACGTCCGGCCAAGAGTGCGGCAGTTCCTACTGCAAGGAGCTGGGCTGCCGAGAGCATTTTCACTGTCTGGACTGCAGTGGTAGGGTGTTTGTGAAAAAGGAGGAGATGATCAGGCATTTCAAGTGGCACAAAAAGAGGGACGAATCTTTGCAGCACGGTTTCATGAGGTACTCGCCGACCGACGACTGCTCGGAGAGGCATCCGGGCCGTGCGTGTCCGCACAATCGCAAACAGACCCACTACCACTGCATCCACGAGAACTGCGACAAGGTTTACATATCCACGTCCGACGTGCAGATGCACGCTAATTACCATCGCAAGGACTCGGCCATCATACAAGAGGGCTTCCAGAGATTTCGAGCTACCGAGAGCTGCGCCACCGAACACTGCACCTTCGTCGGCCAGAGGACCACGCATTTCCATTGTCGCAGACCCGGATGCAGGTTCACGTTCAAGAACAAGGCTGACATGGGTAAGAACGATCTTGTTCTGCTCCTTATTCGATTCCTCGGACGGCGGATCGTTTCTACGCCTACAACGATAGATCACGTTTATCGCGTTTATCCCATGTTCGGTCATCAATTTTTCCGAAGATACTTTCTATCTTTCCTAGCGTGGCATCAATTTATTTTATTTAATCGTCAAGAATCGTGGAACTAGACGACGATTTAATTGTACTCGCCACTGTCTTCAATTTACCTTTTTATGCGCGAGATGTTGTCTTCTTCTCTTGCTACCGTCGGGTTCTGCTTCACCTGCAACAGAAATGCGCCTTTGTAGTCCCAGTCCCGGAATATCTGCTAGAACAGGTTCGCCCCGGAAAACCATTTGGAATCGTTATTCTCGATAGAGTTGAAAATTCTTTACTGTACCTTTCTGTGTGTACCTTAAACTCCCCGTGACGCTCGTGCCAGTCGTTCGATCGAACCTTGACATAATCTTGACAAAATCTTGACATAATCTTAACAAAACCTTGACATAACCTTGACACAATCTCGCTAGCATCGCTGATCAGATCCTCCTTCTTCCAGACAAGCACAAATCGTACCACATCAAGGACGAGCAGCTCTCGCGCGACGGCTTCAAGAAGTTCATGAAGTCTGAGGCGTGCTCGTTCGAGCAGTGCCGTTTCTCCCGGGTCTGCAATCACATCCACTGCATCCGGCCGCACTGCAGCTACGTGCTGCACTCCGCCGGCCAACTGTACTCCCACAAGCGGAAACACGAGCGCCACGAGTCGGAGCTGGCTTACCGGAAGTACAAGCAGATCAGCTCCGTAGGCGGCTCGAGGCCTCCGGGGTCGTGGCCTCCGGACGACCTGAGCGGCCAGAGCTTGTCCTTGAGCCTGAACGGCGAGAGCTCGAACGAGGATCGAGGATCGCCCTCGTACTACTCTTTGGACGACTCCTTCCAGAGCGGAAGCGACCTGGCGATGGACCTGACCGCGCCAACGACTACCGTCTCGGCCAGCGGAAGTTCGACGATGACGATCGACCAGCATCAACAGCAACAACAGCAGCAACCGCAACAACAACAACAGCAGCAGCCGAGTCAGCTGACGGCGACCGAGTTGGCGTACCTGGTGCCTGGGAACGCGGACTGTCCTTGCCACCTCGGCAGGGAGCATCATCACTGCGGTCTGGACAGATGCGGAGCCGCGCTGAGGGACCCTCGCGAGGTCAGGGAGCACCTGAGGGAGCACGAGACCCAGGAACGCATCACGGACGCGTTCTTCGAGGAGGGCGGCTGCGACGAGGGGTGCCCGTACGCCGACAAGGAGAAGCACTACCATTGCAACTGGGAGAACTGCCGGGAGGTGATCCTCTCGACGGACAAGCCGTTCCGCAGGCTGCAGCACTACAAGATCCACGAGTACAGCAGGCAGCTGAACCTCTCCTGCTCCTCCCACGCGCTCTCCTCGGACGTGACCTTGACCCACCTGACCAACATCGACGCCATGTTCAGGCGGAAGCGAGGCAGGCCGCCGAAGAACCGGGTGATCGAGATCTGGTCCGGAGGCGACCCCGCGACCCACACCCACGACTCTCCCCAAGCCATATTCACCAGCTTCAAGCTGCCGAAACCGCAGACGCCCAGCCTGACGGCGAATCCTCTGATGGAGGATCGCGAGGGCAGCGTCTCCCCTTCGAACAGCCTAGGGGAGCCCGAGGGCTTCTCCACGTACAATCCCGACGGCTGCCCCGATCCCGCCTGCGTCCTCAGGTCCACCAGACACCATCACTGCTCCCAGGCAAGGTGCCACTTCTCCACCGACAGGCCGGACCAGTTGCTCATGCACAGCAAGGACTTCCACGACAACGTCGACATAACGGCCGGCTTCGCGTTCTTCGACAAGATGGTCGACTGCCGGCTAGCCGGCTGCCACAGCAACAGAGTGAACAGACACTTCCACTGCACCAGGCCGAACTGCGGATACTCCTTCGTCAGATACTCCACCATGGTTCTCCACGAGAAGCAGCACGCCGGCCAGAACGAGCCCGCCAATCAGGAGACCTCGATCCACGACGGTCATCATCCGTCTTCTCAGCAGCTCGTCCACGAGACGAAGCCCAGGATCCAAGTGAAGAATCCCGCCGAACTGATCGAGAAACCCGAGGACTGTCTGAATACCTCCGATCTGGAGAACAGGTCGATGATGGAGGACAAGGAGGCCGAGATACCCAGCCCGGACGCCAGCAAGACCACCGGTAAGTGGCGAACGATCGTCGGACACGAACCCAGTGCACACCTGTACAGTACTGTTGTTTTATAAGAGTTCCGAGTTTGGTAGCGACACCCGATGTCAGAGTCGGCCGACTGCATGTCTTTTGTCCTTTTTTTTCTGCACGTACACGCACCACAATGTATATTCGAACACATCGGCACCACCCCACCTCTCGAGAGTTCTCGGTGTGGATCCATGCTTGGCGAGAGGACGTCCGCGTTGCCGTTTTCTTTTTTTTATTCTTTTTGCTAGCGACGCGTAACCGTTTTTTTTTTAGGAAGAGCGTAGTTGCTGTTGCGTTTTGCTACCTTATTTTGCGACGGTCTGGAGAACCTTTACAAATCTTTGCGACGAGATGAGACGATCTTGATTCATTTCTGGACCGTGGATTTTTGCGCCAAAAGTTGATACAGCAAATTGCAATTAAGTCGAAAAGTCCTGAATTATAAAACGTTTTTAACGACAAAGATCCACGGTTCGGTAGTCGCTTTTGGCGACTCGCGAACAAATTACCAAACCAAGACAATTATGCAAAGATTCGTAGAGATTGTCGAGTAGACGTCCCATCGCCTGTTTCTTTTTTTTTTCGTCGTTGCGTTTGTACATCATTTTTTTTTGCGTCTGATGTATCTATTGTACAAGGTGGTTGTAATTCTAGTGGGAGGTATATTTGAAGTGTTGGTTGTTTGGTTGATTGTTGCTAGTGGTGAGGGCGGCAGGCACCTATTATCCGGTCAGTGGACCGCCGAGTGAACCTGCACTTCCGGGCGTCGTGCTATCCATGCGAACTTCCGTGCATCAAGGTTCGTGTCTCTATCGACGACAGATTTTCTTGCCTTGAAAACGTGTTCTCTTAGCATAGAATCAGCCGAGGAGCATAGCAAACCTAATACGTCGCGCCGTCGTGCCCAGAAAGAAACGTCGTCGAACATTCGTGCGATCGACGGGAAAATCACTTTCGTTCGGAAGCTTCGAGGTAACGTCGCGTAGAGAGAGGGAGAAAGAGAGAGATGTACATACATGTAAATCCGCGTGCTTCGGTTCCTCAACCCTTGGACTATGGTGATCGGGTCCATCTTGGCCCGGAGCTCCGAGGATCGACGTATCCTATCCGACCGACGCCGAGAATATAGAACTAGAAAGATTCGCGATCGCCGATCTAACGAACGTGGAGCCAAGAGCGAGCACCGATCGAAGTAAACTGGTTGCAGCAAGAGATCGAACTGTACATACGCGATGCAAAAGTCCCCCCTGCGTATTGGGTTTGCCTGCGCCTCGTCTGCCAGCAGTGTCAAGATCCCGCGACCACCCTCGGTATCTCTGTCTAAACGATTCGCTATTACTATTGCAGAGTCTCCGGTTCTCCCATCGACCAGCTCCTCGTCGCCGCACACGCTCTACGGTCCGGAGCAGAGCTGCAGCCGTCCGTTCTGCAAGCTGAAGCGGAAGAATCACTACCACTGCAACGCGTGCAATCAGGCCTTCTCCGAGCTGGACCGTCTGGTGGCTCACATAGCGAAGCACTCGACGGGCGCCATATTGAGCCAGCAACAGCACGACCTGGCGAACCAGGTGCCGAATCAGCTGCAGCACGAGTACCTGGCCCAGCTGTCCCAGAAGCACGACTTCATGGCGCAGAACGCTCAGATGGCGCAGAACATTCAGAACTTCCAGAACCAGATGCAGCGTCAGATGCAGCAGACCCTCGGCCAGATGAACCAGCAGAATCAGCTGAAGGAGGTGAAGATGGAGCCGGCGAGATGCGGCGCGGACGTCGGCGTGCAAAACGTTCCTAGCGTGAAGAGGGAACCGAGCGAGATCAACAGGGACGAGGCCAACAACTCGGTGATGGACGCGAACGAGAACGGACAGTTGTCCCAGCCAAGTTTGCCGCCCAGCGTTCAACAATCAACGGTCCCGACCAGCTTCGAGCTGGACCTCAGCCACGGATTCCACTTCCCGAGCCCCGCGGTGATGGCCGCCATGAATCAACAGATCGCCCTGATGAACCAGGCTCTGCCGCCTTTCCTGCAACACGGCGGCATGTACACGGGCGCGCCGGGACTCATGTTCGCTCCCGGACTACCACCGACGAACTTTCTACCTCCTACCAGAGACGAGAACCCCTTGGCCTCGCTGGCGGCCAACCTGAACCTGAACAAGAGGTCCTTGTCCCCGTCCGACAGCAATTCCCCCGAAGCCAAGAAGCAGAGGCTGCATCATTCGATGAGGATGCTGAAGGACGAGCCGGTGCCAGAAGGATACGTCAGGTTGGTAGAGGAACCGCGATATCTCGGGTTATCTCGGTTTCCCGCGATATCTCGGGAACCAGGGACCGTAGGGCCAACGAAACACGCGTTGAACAACGCGGCCGGAAACGGACCACTCGGCGGTGCGAGAAAAGTCCGTTTCGCCTAACGAATTCCTTGGAATTTCAGGTTCCGCTTCAACGAGGACTGCAGGTACCCCCACTGCGGGTACCGGGAGCACCAGACGCACTTCCACTGCATGCGCCAGGACTGCGGCTACTCGTTCTGCGACAAGACCCGGTTCGTCCAGCACACGGCCCGCCACGAACGGCTCGACACGCTGATGGGCGGCGACTTTCAGCAATACAGGGCGAACGTGCCCTGCGGGAGGGCGCAGTGCGCGTACACGTCGTCGCTGGGCTCGATGCAGAACAAGGCCTCGCACTTCCACTGTCTGAAGTGCGACTTCGTGTGCACGGACACGAACAAAGTGGTCGCGCATCGTCGCCAGCACGCGAAGCTGGACAGCATCGCGGCGGCCGGCTTCCAGAAGTTCACCCCGAGCCAACCCTGCGGGGGCGTGCAGTGCCAGCACTCGGGGAAGCAGACCCATTACCATTGTCTGCAGTGTCAGTACGCGGTGCTGGGCCTGGCCCAGATGTCCGCCCACAAGTACAGACACATGGACACATAACGACGCCTGGTCGAGCGGCTGTTCGCCGGAGGAGGCTCAACGAAGACGGTGAACCGAGCTTGGCCGGTCCCCGTGGCGGACCTTCCCAACGGGGCCGTCGGCTGGATCGAGGGACCGTCGATCCTGGATCAAGCACCGGGACGGTAAAAATTGACACAACCGTACTCGTATCCCCGTAGACATTCCCTGCGGAGCGACCAGAGTGATCCGAGAACCAGAGTCCTCGCGGTGATCCGCACGATGATGATCAGGGGCAGCCCGACCTAGTCAGTGATCGCGTGATCGGTCAACCGTCGACGAGGGATCCACGGGACCGTCGGTCGACGATCGAGAGATCTTCTTCTCTCCCCCCCTCGATCGTTCTTCGTACTTACGAGGATATTTATTTTACCGACCGTCGGGAAACCTCGGCCGTTTTACCCGCCATCGGGCACGGATACCAGCTGGAAGCGGTTCCTTCACCTTCGTCCCGTGGCGCCGAGTTCGAAAGCAGAACCCGAGAGAGATTCTTCCGAGATTCATCCGGGATCGTGAGACACGTTCGAAGAAACAGAGAGGTGTTTTTCGTTGGTTAGAAACGTATGGTACACGGAAAACCGTAGACAATAAACGACGACGACGACGCGAGTCTACCGTATAAAATAGCTTTAGCGCGAAGAAAAAGACAAACTGTAATATTTAATAGCAAAAGACCCTGTACATTTTTCTTTTCTTTTGTTTCTACTTCTACTTCTACTTCTTCCTTCTACTTCTACTACTTCGACTACTTTTTCGTTTTTTGTCGTTTACTTTTCTCTCTTTTTTTAGTAGCGCGTACCCTCCGCGTGGTGCAGCGGCGACTTAGGTCCTAGAGTAGATAGTTAATATATAAAATGAGAGAGAGAGAGAGAGAGAGAGAGAGAGAGAGAGAGAGAGCGGGAGAGCGTGTGCGAGAGTGGGTTCTGGAGGATCCAGCGGAAAGATCGACGATTTTTGTGGCGACAGTGGGAACCGTTGACAGGATCGGTATGCGCTAGCGAGCCAAGCAATTCCTTTTTCGACATGGCGTCGCGTCTAGTCCATCGCACCATCGCATCGGTGTTTTTCTCTGAGAACGATTGTCTGTCGATCGATCGATGGTTCAGTGGAACGACAGAGTGGTCTGTCGTGGACGGCGCAACGATCCTTTCGCCGTCGGCGACTGCTAAATTCTCTTTTGTTGCTGTCTCGGTCACAGCTTCCGTTTCGTTAGCTTTTCACGGCGGCGGAAAATGGCGTTCGCTCGTCTCTCGAAACGAGGACAACGAATAGAGCGAGGTACGCGGAGTGTTTCACGCGAAACAGGCCACAGCATCGTCTATTATAGCTTCAAGTTTTCACTTCGATCGTTCGTAGATCGGTTGAAATCTTATTTCTTTGATACATTTTTTAATTCGATTCCGTACTCGAAATTCAACGCGGTAGAAGCTCGATTATTCGATGTCTGTATTCCTTATTAGTCAAGCACGTTGTTCATGTAAATAGATCCGAAGGGATCTGCACACACATCTCTGCATATTGTACATACCAGTCAAGACTAGATCACTCGGTACAAGACTTAATTTAGCACTTTAATTAAGTAACCGTTCCAGCGTCTGAACATCCGTTTCTTCGATTAGCTCGGATAATCGAGGTTCTACCGCGATTTCTCGCGTATCGCGAGTGGCCTGTTTTAAACGCAGCACCCTGCGTATCGCCGTCAAAAATTAAATCGTCCGCAAAACCAGCGCCGACTCTGATATCCGTGTGACACAAACGAGCCCGAACGAAACGATCTCGGGCGAGATTTATCGAGCTTGCGCCGTCTTCCGACCGCCGTATTGTTTGACAGAGTCGATCGAATCGTACTAAAGATTATACGCTTCCTCGGGGAACACGTGCCGCGGCCGGGAGGGTACCCGTTCACGTTAATCGTATTTTACGAACAGTATTGCTAAACCGAGAGTTAACAAAAAGACTGCCAGCCGGAGACGCGACAGAGCAGAGAACTTGAGAGCAAGTGAACGGAACATGGCGAACGGAACCGGAAGCGGTTCCGAGTAACGAAGACGCCGAGACGTTTTCTTGAAACTAAAGAGTATACATATATTGTATATTTGCGAACTGTACAGTGGAAAGTATACGCGAGGTATACCCGTAAACAGCGCGAGCCTCGGACACGGATGGACGAGATTTTATTTAAGCGGTACTCTTTTTATTAAGCTTTTGGTCGACGATCGAAGTTCGAGTGCTCGTCGATGGAACGAGAATTCGATGCATCTACGATAAATAGGTCGTCGACGCTTGCGTGTCCTAGTTCTACGAGAGAACGCGATTCAAGGTTCTCGCAACCATTGGCCTTCGGGGATGCTCAACGACCATGCGGTACTACTTCCCCGTTTACACGGTTTCAGAGATGGTGGGTTTTGAGAACAATAAGTTTATGGTAACGTTTGCGAGAATCTTCGGAACTGTTGCGCGCGAATTTTATAGGTTCGATGCTTAGGCACTCGACGACGATTGCGTCTTGTCGGGAAAGGGGACCATCTCTGTCCGCGAGGATTCGGTTCATCCGAGACTTTCACCTCCCCGAAAACTCATCCCCTTTTACGATCGCACCTGTCGTTCATCGCGAACAAGCTTCGTTTCATTCACGATTCAATCAGGAGCTAGCTAGATTTTTATATATCGACTGGGCTTCGATATTCGGAAGCTCGAAGACTTCGGTTCGGACATCGTGCGTCCATTCGTCGTTTGTCGAAGAATTCTATAGACTTTGAATACCATCCACGATTATCACTAGAACCAGCTAGATTTTTATATCGTCCGAAAAGTATCGAAGTACCTAACTGAATTTAGGGTTACGCTATGCCACTCGTCCGACAGAATTTTCTCAAATTAATTTTAAAGCCTTCTAGACGAGAATGTAAGAAGTAAGGGAAGCCGGAAGATACGCGTATAGAATCGACGATAACGATGTACCACGTAGCAGATAGTAAAGTCTGTCGTGTGCTCTTCCTCCGAAAATTAGGGAGCGAGTACGCGCGCGACGATAGCGTGGCAGCGTGAGAAACGCTAGGGTGCCTTTAGAGTTCCTCCCGGACTTGTAGGACCGTGCCTTAGCTCCGACAAAATCGCAGCATTGTCTGCGAATCCTCTTCAGAAACCGAACAATAAGCAACATAGACGAGTATAGATATAGTTAGTGCCTTAAAACAGAAATTCGAAAGGGAAACGGCGACACTGGGGTAGTAGCCTAGAAAACAGAGGGAGAAATCTTCCTAGCGAATTTATTAGAAGCTTCGAGAACGTTACTCTTCGAGGAGATCATTTTCTTCGTGCAAACCGAACCCTGTTCGACCGATAAAGCGTAGTCTAAAAGCGTCTTCGGACGACTGTAAATGTGGAAACGAAGTTCGTCCTGTTCTTTTCCTTCGTCGTTATCGGAGCACAGCTATCCATCGCGACGAATGGTTCTTGGTGGAGTTTTGAACGCAAGTTTAATCAACAGTTTAAGTTTACTTTTCGAAGTGGTTTTTCGTCTTCGAGCAGAAGCCGAGAAACTTGTGGCTTTAACAACCCTGCCCGACGGTTTTATCGTCCGCGTTCCATTGACGATCGATACTCGCGGTTTTTAATTGCCAGGATACGAGCACTATTCCTAGCAGAACAAGGCAGAGATCGTGAATTTAATTATTGGAACGATTCTTTGATTTTGCTATTGCTCTATTATCAAATATACGCTTTTCGATTACTTTTTCAATTTACTTTTCACAATTATTGACAGTCGTACCGTCATAAAGATTCAGATTTTTTAGATTCGCTTTTTAAAAATTTGGTTGGAAATCGATACAACCGATCCTCTGAGATCAGCCAGGACGAGCTTCGGTGTTCCGTTTGAACTGCTTCAACGATTATTGGACGATGGAGAAGGTGTTGCTGAACCACCCAGAATTCTTCCAATTATTCGAAACCTAAAATCATCTTTATACATTGTCACATTGATTTTACAAATCGATCTACTTTCCTTCATTCTCAGCATAACGATTAGTTCAACAAATGCCTCCACCATGGTCTACAAACATATGAAAGCCAACGAAACCCATGAAAACCGACTGATATCGCATCGTACTGAATATTCTCTCAAGGTCAGTGGGAGGAGCCGCCCCCACTCCGCTCTTTCTCCTTTCTTTCTCTCTTTCTCTCTCTCTCTCTCTCTCTCTCTCTATCTCTCTCTGTCTCTCAGGCTCCTCCCACGCTCAGGATTGTTGAGGTGGTGGGACGTGACCTCGAGCGACGATTCTCTCCGCTCGGACTATAGCGATTGATTCGTTGCCCGCAAAAAACTCGGATGGAGAGATCGAGGAGTCTATTCCGGGGTGTCCGGTGTCTCCAGACGAAAGCGGACACCGCGGAGAAACGCGATCAGAAAAATCCTGGGGATCGAGGGAAATCGAAAAGAAAGAGAAAGAGGAAGGAAGGGAGAGAGAGAGAGAGAGAGAAAGAGAGGAAGATGCGGCGCAGGTGGGCCAGCCATGATTGAAACGAGTGCCATAAACCGCGATAGTAAGGGATCGGTCTCTTTCTCGAACCTGAAACTGCCAGGAGAGAGCGAGAGAGAGAGAGAGAGAGAGGGGATGGAGAGGACCTGTAAAATAATTTATTTCCTCGACGAATCAAAAGGTTCGTCGAGCCTCGACCCACGAGTGGGGGTCGGCGCAATCTAAACCGGAAGTACAGCGAACCAAACTCTGACGGGCCCCTCAACAGGGCCCGTGGAGGATCGATAAGGGGGGAGCGGAGACACCGATGGGAAACGGAAACGGTTTTGAGACGTGTTTCGAGGAGCGACGGTGAACTGAGGTTGCCTTATAACTATCGAGCCTATATTATATATATATATGAGAACAAAAGGTATATATAGTATATATAAATGTGGAAATATTGCGAGATCGTTTGATACACGATCGAGATACGTATTGAAAGTATGCGTGCGAGAACGAGCGAATGGGATCCGTGTATGTTTTATGTATGCGTGCGGGTGTGGATATGCGTAAGGGACGAGAGATGTATACCAGTAGAAGTCGTACTATTATTTGAAGAAGTTTAGAGAGAATCTATCGTACGGTCATTAGTATTAAAATACCTGCTGTATGGATGTAAGAGAAAAGAAAAAAACTATTATATAATTTTATCTATTATTATTATTATTATTATTAATTATTGATTAATATGCTCTATTATTATTATTATTATTATATTATTATTATATTATTATTATTATTATTATGAATGAGTATCCGGAACCACACTTCGTATGTAGCTGTGATTTTGCTTTCGAACAAGTAAAGATTAAAAATATTTATAGCAACCGAACGTGTTCTGGTCATTTCTTTTCTGGTTTCGATAGAGGCCGAATTAAGAACTCGTCTCGACAGATTTCGATTGTAGTTCGATTTAAAATATGCGATAGGACCAAAGTCCATTTAGTATGCGACACGTACGTTCCATCGAAAGGTGAACAAGACGTCAACTGTTTTTATCCCGAGGTATTTACGGTAGTATAAACGAGTCAGGAAATCTTCAAGAGAAGAAAGAGAATTCGCGCGATGGTTGTGGTTGTTGTTCTCCCTTGTCGTTAAAGACACGGCTTTGTAGAAAGAGCGGCCGCAGATGCGGCTTCGTTATTCAGCGTCGTCACGCATTCGTTCGTCGAGTAGTTACTTGTGCGGGTATTTTTATATTTAGCTTCCGATTACCAACGGTAGCCGGCTCGGTCTGTTCGCCATCATTCCGACGATAAAAAGAAAAATGGTGGCTGACGAAAACTGGCCGAATGCGATTAATCGTTATTCGTTTTATCGCGCGGCCTTTCACTCGATAATTATACTGGGTCAACTGGGAAACCAGAAATTGACGGAAACGTTTGAATCCCCGAGCTCCCGGTTAAATCGTTTTCCAAATGCTACGAAATTGTGGAAATGTCAGACATTTTTGTGGACCGATGAACGCGTAATTATCCATTCTTGCATTGCGAGCGTTGTTCAATTGAAAATACAATGCATAATTTGGTATTCTATTTAAACGTTTCGCACGATTGCTTTACGAGCAATAATGAAAATAGAAAAATTAATATTAAAATATACAAATTAATTGCCTCTGCGAATCCGTTTGGAAAGGAGAAACATCGAAATACGACAGATGATGCAATATCGTCGATTCTCTGAACCGTTGAAATGTTGCGTTTCTGCGATTGGTTGCTCGATCGGAAAAACCGAGAGAATGGGTAGACCGAAATCGAGCGTTTTATCGGTTCGCGGTATTTGAAGCCGTGCATATAGTGTCGTCGTTAATTATTGAACGGAGATACGGCATTATCGTCGGCCGGACACGAATCGACGCTGGTTTTTACACCGATTCGTTTTTCGTAGTGTCAAGCAGAAGCATCGATTAAACGCGTGATCCGCGCGAAAAGTTTATTTCTTCGCGTTCGACCAGATGTTTCCGTATCGATATATCCCGTTCGATCTGTTGCGCGCGATTGAAAACGAACTAACTCGGATGGAGCATCGGAAAGTTACGTTGAAAGATAGGTCCAGAACAAATAAAGAGTTAATTTTTTATCTATGTTTTTCGCTATTGGTTTATCGGTAGGTCGGCTTATCGCGCAACAAGGCCTTCGAGATTTTAATTACCACACGAAGCTTCCTATTTGAGTCATCGATCGATCGAACCACGGCGATCTAGCTTCTATCTCCGGCGAACGGATTGATCTTGCATAAGAATAAAACAAATGCAATCGATGAGATAACATTCGTTCGGATGTCTTTGCTGCAAAAGCAAGCGTTACAAAATATATAATTAACTTACGACACGCGTATTATGAAATCTCTGAAAAAAAGCGCACGCGTCCTTGCTTTTTGTGAACTTGCATATGTCATAAACGCATAGAGACAATCCGCATACCAATTATACAGACTCTATCCACGAGTTCTGTGGAATCGATATTTAAATCTAATTTTAGTCCATCTGCTCCGCATGCCGCGAAATCTGCAATTGACAGGTAATCTTGCGTAACGTTTGACAAACAAAAATACATAGAAACAATTAATACAATGCTCCGCCTTCGAAATCACGGTCGCTATTTCCACGTGCTTCACTCGGACAATTAACAAGATACAATTAATCTATGATTCGATCCGTGATCTATCCTAAGTCGTAAGGAACTATAAAAATTAAAAATAGATCGATATCCTCTCCACTCTCATCAAATTCCATTGCCTCGAAGAACAATCGGCACCGATGGGTCACATTCCAGAAGCAATTGCCGTCCGGAAAAGGATATCCCAATGCCAGATGGCCCGAAACCAAGGGGACATCGATCGCGGAACCGCGAATCCTTGGTGCCCCACCACGAAAGTCGCGAGTTCGAGCTCCGGCGCAGTTGAATCCGGTTCTATCAGCCTTGGCCGGCATTTTTCTCGATGCAGACGGTTTGGGAAACTCGGCTGGCATGGCCCAGCGTGTTCCACGAGCAACTGAAACGGCTCGAAGCCTGTGCGCCGGCATAAACAGAATACCTGGCCTGGCCTGGCTCTGTCCACGTGCTCCCATAGATCGTGGCCCGCGCGCGGCACGTGATCCTCGCGTGGCCCGAGCTCCGATTGGCCGACTGGAGGGGTTAGATCACGTGCAGAGACAGTGATCCAGCCCGAAAACAGCTGTACACCCTCGCACTCTCGTCTCTGCGTTTCAACAAACTTTCCATCGAGAGCGCGTGGCAGCCATCGTCGAGCATTCGGCCGCGGTTCTCGTCTCCTCTCGGCACTCGCCCCTCGTCCCTCCCGTCGTTATTTTATTCAAGATCGATATGACGAAGTTTAGGAACGCCACGAGGTCTGTTTACGTTCCGCCACTGGCACGAGACTTGCGCTAAAGAGCCGCAAAACGCGTGCACGGATCGACAGATCGAGATCGAGACTCTCATCGAGCTTGGAAGCCGTTGATTTTATTTTTATCCTAGCTCAATGTCGCGAGCATTTTATGGCGAAGGAGTTTTCATTAGAGAGTTTAATATCGATCCGATTTTTATATTAGTTTCCGGCTGTAAATGATAATAGTTGCCTTTGATTTAATTTTATCTAGAATGATGCGCTGTTCGACGGGATTGCACAGAGTTGCAATAAGCGTAAAGACTGCGCGAAGATCGCCGACGGTTTCGCGTCCCATCGATCAGTAAATTGCAGTTGGAAACAATGAGCATAATTACACGAATGTTGTGTCTGGAGGTCTATTTGCGATTGCCTTTTTATCTCGAAGTCTTCCAGCGAATAGATTGTGAAATTCAGGGAAGCTCCAAGGTCTGTTTACGATCGTAGACCAGCACGAGATCATCAAATGTTACCGTGGCCTAGCGCTATCAATTGAGACGGTGATTTGACAGTCGTCGTAACATGACAGCCCCGAGACGTCTAACAATCTGTTATCTACCAAACAAACGATCCACGAATTCGATCTAGATCGGCGCGTCTAAATGCGGAGAATTTCACCGTCGCGATAATCGGCCCGTGCATCCGTAAGAATCGTCGCGAACGATTTCTGTTAACGAATCCCGTTATCGGACAATCGAATCGGCGAATTAGCGTATCTCGTTATCCGTGGAAGTCGTTCGTTTCGTCGCAGGTCGATTTGATAAGAGGAACGTCTTGGTTTCGAAACAAGTGCAGGCGACCGCGAAACCGAGATCCCACGGAACGAGCCGAGCAATAAACAATTCGAAAAAATTGTCTGCGGACACGGGGACGCGAGTGCGTTTGCAGTTCACCGACCTGGTTGCGGATCCGTGCAATGGGAGAGCCGAGGAAAATTTCTGCATACGAGAATAGACGTTTCCCTCTGCGGCTGTAACGCGAGAGGAAAGGTGAAAGAAACGCCGAGCCGCGCCGAGCCGGGCGGCGCGCGAGTGGCGTTTTATCGTTAAAACAATTAACAGAAATCGGACGCGTGAACGAAAGAAACTCGAGATTACTAATAATGTGCGTCGAGTACGATGTACGGGCAGGTCTGTTTCGAGCTAAATCGTTTTTTCGCTAAGTGGACGAATCTGCTCGAATTATTTGACATCGATCGCTTAATCATAAATGGGTGATGAATCATTTATGAGTTCACGGAATGTGAGTCACCAGCATGCTTGGATAATCGCGTTGCACGATGGGTACACGAGATAGATTAGGATTGCGTTAGTTCGAACGAGATTTTAAACGCGGAGTTCGATTGCTGATTCGAAGTGTAGCATATCGTTGTATTTAATTTCGTGTTCGGAGAATGGATTCTGCGATTTAATTGTGATTCCTAGAATCGAATTCGAAATTGCCGAAATATTCTGCTGTTTGTTTATTAATTATTCCAGCGAATATTTCAGCGGCGATGCGAACTCTCTCTCTTGTTTCCATCGAAGCAGGAGCGACAGTAAGTCGGATAGAAGTGGGAAATGGCAAGAACGCAATTAATTAAACAAGCGATAATATTCTTTCTTGGGAGCAGACATCGGTTTGCGTATAATCGGCTCGACACGTGCCAAAAAAATGACGCAAGAAGCATGGCAGATCTGGAAACAAGAAATGCGCATCGCCGATCGATCTTTTTCTCGAGATCGAAATTTGCTAAAATCGTCGCGTTAATTTGTTCCCTGTTCAAAAATGTTTTCGGATGTCGCGAAGCTTCGCGAATACCGCACGGCAATTACATCGAACCGACGGATCTTCCTGGCCAATAAATAAAATTGCCTGCTCAATTCCCCTAATAAAGACAATAACCTTGTATCCGCACAACTCCCACGTTACCTATCAATTACTATGGCACGGCTAGTCAATTGAAACGATCGTACCTTCTAGAAGAACCTGCTTCCTCGGTATCTACGCAGCATTCGCCGCATTTGTTCACCTATTGCACCGTGTAACGATCAATCTCTAATTAGTTTTAACAAGAAAAAGCATGATCTTCGAGGAAAAATATCCTCGTCGGTCGTGCAAAAATCGCTGGAATATCGCAGTCGATGGGAAACGCAAATAAACGACCTTATCGCGATTTATCCACGGTTTCAGAAAACTCATAATCGCATGGCCTACGAATTCTATCGCAACGTTTCTGCAGATAAGACTTCTATAATTTGATACGAATTATGAAAAAATTTCGCTGTCGCAGTATTTTTCGATTTATGGGCACGTTTAATTATACGCAGTTACCAGCGATTGGATGAACTATTCGAATCGGAGCTATTCCGAATATCCGCATTTATTGCGCTCTAAAATATAATTAATGCTATCTCTTCGGCTTTATAAATCTCGGTGATGACCTGGGTCAACGTTTGATAGGCA